CATCTACCCAATCAACAGCCCATCCACCCAATCAACAGCCCATCCACCCAATCAACAGCCCATCTACCCAACCAACAGCCCATCCACCCAATCAACAGCCCATCCATCCAATCAACAGCCCATCCACCCAACCAACAGCCCATCTACCCAATCAACAGCCCATCTACCCAACCAACAGCCCATCCACCCACTCAACAGCCCATCCACCCAATCAATTGACCATGCCATCCAATCAACAGCCCATCCACCCACTCAACAGCCCATCTACCTAATGAACAGCCAATCCACCAAACCAACAGCCCATCCACCCAATCAACAGCCCATCCACCCAACCAACAGCTCATCTACCCAATCAACAGCCCATCTACCCAACCAACAGCCCATCCACCCAACCAACAGCCCATCTACCCAATCAACAGCTCATCTACCCAATCAACAGCCCATCTACCCAACCAACAGCCCATCTACCCAATAAACAGCCCATTAACCCAATCAAGCAGCCACCACCTTAAGAGGATAGGATTGAGTGGATTTCAATCCACCCTAATTTTGATCCAAAATTCTATTTATAGGAAAATTTATTGAATAACGAGTGATTTCTCGATCAATCAGTAACAAATCCACCCAGCCAACCAACCAATCAAGGAAACAAACAATCACCAAAACAATACCCCGTCCAACCAACCAAGTAAAAACCACCCAAGGAAATAAGCGACAATAATCATTATTTGGAAATATCAAAATTCTTTACACATACCTCCAGAATCAATAGCATCCATCAGTAGTTCTTCCACAACCTTAATTAATCATATAGATAACATTAGATTATCTTTATTCATGYAATAATCAATACAAATATTTTACAATTTAAATTATAAAAAAGKGGAAAAATATCAACAACTAATTAATAATATAATTAATAGAATAAATTAAGAATACTACAATCAAAACWGTTGATATAACACCTTATATTTTTACTCGTTTKCTTAAAAAAATAACACAGGTCCTCAGATMGTTTGCTGGAGGTGTTTTCCACTGGAGATCGTTCTGTAAAATCTCAATGCATCCCTCAAAAGTTCCCTATATAATTTATGTGGGAGGTTCTTTTTTATGAATATTAAATACTAACCGCTTTCTCTTGTCTTGACTCAATCTTGATAATCATATAGATAAAATTTCATTATTTTTATTCATGCAAAATTAGTACACATATTTKCGCAACTTGAATTCAAAACGAAAAATATAAACTATATAGTATGATTCTGTATGATTGTATAAAGTAAAAAAAGAGGATTAAATTTCAGATTACTAAAATTGTTGGTATACACCTAATTGAAGAAACGTTGTCGGGTCCAAAAAGGTCAAATCATAGAAGCTAAGACCGAAAAGGTACTTGGGAAGACAAACAATTTGGCTAATTTCATACAAGCAGCTCTCCAGCATAAAAGACTAGCATGCTGTTAATCTTATTAGCTCTACTTGCTTTACGGTGCACCATGTTAAACACCGTATATGCAAATGTAATCCCAATTTAGTGGTACTCAAAATCCCTTTMGGTCTTAGCTTCTATGATGTGAACTTTTCGAACACGACTACGTTTTTTTAATTAGGTGTAAACGCTGCGTCGAAATCAAGATATGGCCATTGACAAAAGGTTGTCGTAGACCGGACTTCGTAATACACGATGCACCAGAACAGGTTTCTGGGTCAAAATCAATGAACTGGCAAATTAGGCATAGCAACAGCTTCCACTATAGTGTCAATTTGTTTGTGCCATTATTCTCTTTTTTTAGGAACTCAAGGACAAATATTGAACGTTGTATTTCCCGCCATGATGGAAAACAATGCGAGATGCAAAAATCTACATCACTTGCATGCATAATTGAATTCCCGTGATTTGGAAATTTTTGCCACACATTATGCGGGGGGGAGGTATTTTTATTTTATGAATCTGAAATACTAACCGCTTGCTCTTGCCTTGACTGTGGAAGCTAAAATATTAGATTTGTGAAAAATCAATTATTAATACATAACACTGATCTTTTCTCTAATATCTGCTATTAATAGCAAAAAGATATATAGGATTTGTTTAATTCGGGCAATAAGAAATGCATAAAGCTATAAGAAATAAATGTGTCTCGAAGAAACACTCACAATGTCCATCGATTTACGAAAGTACTGTCTACCTAGTACAGTGATTTTAATAAGCCCGTACTGTGTAACAAACTGAACACAAAGAACACAATAAAAAAACATACTCAATAAAGAGTAATAAAGTGTAGCACATTAGAATGTATTTCACGGATTTCAGAAAGCCACTCAATGTAAGCAATGTGGTCAGTACAGTCAAGGATCTATTAAACGGCTCTCTATTCAGCGGCCAAACTGCACAAGGTGGTCACCTCGTCTTTCCTCTAGATGAAGTATAGTAGAGGTTTCGCTGTAGTAAACTACTTACTAGATTCTCCATTACAATTGCTGGTTCCTTAAAAATAATAAAAAAATAAAAACTGTTCATTTCCAAATATATATATACTGTAAAGTGACTGCTGTTGAATAAACTATCAATCTACATTTAGCGTTCACCTGGTTTTACTGTATTCACTACTACTTACTCGCATTCTCCTTGTAATTGCTGGTTCCTTAAAAATAATAAAAAAATAAAAACTGTTCATTTCCAAATATATATATACTGTAAAGTGACTGCTGTTAAATAAACTATCAATCTCCATTTAGCGTTCACCTGGTTTTACTGTATTAACTACTTACTAGCATTATGCTTTCAATTGCTGGTTCCTTAAAAATAATAAAAAAAGAAAGAGTGCATCATCATTCATCCAATTTATGTTTGTAAATAAAATTAAGGACATCAAATCATTTTTCAATAAGAAAACTTCTTGTGATTACACAAGTTTTCAAAGTGCAAAATGTTTATATTTGCGCCTGACCAAATAGCTAGGGCACGATGTATACATGATCTTTGTACACAAAAATTCACAATTTGGTCCCGATGAAGAATCAGTCTAGGTTACTGAGAAACAGCTTTTTGTCATGTTACACTGTACAATTTTCTCGTCARTTTAGACAAATTTTCGGAGTATAATTACAGTGGAGTAGATGCCTTACTAAATATTGCAAAAAGAGTGGTTGATACTTTTTTCAAATGGTTTGCAAGTGCTGATGCAAAGTGATAAAAGCTGTTTTTTTTAACCTTTGTTACGCTGAGGAATTTGCCAAATCAAAAATACGAGGTTTTGCAGGTCACTGAAAAAAGCGTTGCCTAAAACTTACTCTATGTCTAGATAGTGATCTCATCTCTATTGCCTATYAAGAAACAAACAAAAATKATGAATTTAGAAAATCATTATTTTGAATTCCTAAATCAAAAAGCAAGCAAAACCTTTTCCAAAAAAGAAAAATGGACACAAATATTAAACAAAGTAGATCATATTAATTATCGACATGCCGACATATCACACAGCAATAATAAAACCATTATAAAACAATTAAGAACAACTGAACAGCAAAAATCTATAGTGAGTTTGATTTTCATGGGCCACCAGCATCCCTTTCGAACTTTTGCTCATGGAAAAAAATACATCGCAATATAAGCAAAGACCAGGAGGATCCGACGGTTTCTGTTCTGCTAAATAACTGTTCTCTTAAGAATTCTTTTCCTGAGAAAGGGATTTTGAGCTATTGTTGATAATCTCAGAGCAATGTGGCGCCCTTCCTTCTTTTAAATAATTGTCCCTGCCAAACGTCTTGAAGGCCGTCGCAAAAATGCTTATCAAAAACGTTTTTAGACTCATATTTCTTTAGTTATAGAGACTTTTTATTTTCCTGGCAAAAATATTTAGAAAGTATTCCCTGCCTTGAGAGTTCTTTTTTCAACAAATACACACGACAGTAGTATTAGCTGCATAGTTGGGGCCGGATTTTTTGTGGGATTTGTGGAAAAAATCCATGTGCTCATGAATATTTGTGGGTTAATATATTCAATATTTTTGTGGGTTATTACATATTCATTTTTGTGTGCCTTTCACTTAATCTCCGAACAATAGTCCTTTTGTTCTCTATTGTTTCGCCTAAGCGGTTATCGAGCCCCGAAAATAGGTGGTAGGTGGGTATGCTAATGAAGTCAAAAGTGATAGGGGAGGGGTGGTCAAAACGAGTAGGTGGTATAAATTATTTTAGTAGGTGGGTATGCTAATGAAGTCAAAAGTGATAGGGGAGGGGTGGTCAAAACGAGTAGGTGGTATAAATTATTTTAGTAGGTGGGTATGCTAATGAAGTCAAAAGTGATAGGGGAGGGGTGGTCAAAACGAGTAGGTGGTATAAATTATTTTAGTAGGTGGGTATGCTAATGGAGTCAAAAGTGATAAGGGAGGGGTGGTCAAAACGAGTAGGAGGTAATTCATTATCATAAAATTGTGGGCAATCTAATTATGCAACGTTAGTGTTGATAAATCGAGGGCAACCCTGTCATACAACTTATGTGTTGGTAATCTAATTATGCAATGTTGATAATATTTTATGTCAAGGTTCAGCGATCGCATAAATTAGTATCTGAAGAAAAGGTTAATGATCACTTTTGTTCTGAGACAATAGGTCACCTGCTACAGGAGTTTGAATAACCAAAAATTATGATTTTCAGCCTTTTTATATTTCTAACTATTGATTACTATACCTCACTTTTATTGTAAAGGCATTCATTACTTTGAAAACTTCCGAGAGGCCCGGAAAGGACCGGAAAGGCCCGAAGCTGTCCGAAAGTTCCGGAAAGGACCGAAGCTGTCCGGAAAGGCCCGAAGCTGACCGGAAATGGCCCGAAGCTGACCATAGAATGAGCTCCTGTTTCATCAGCATTTTAAAATAAGCAACAACAATGCAATCATTTATTTCAGTTGTTTTTTATTTTTCAATTCATCAGTAAAGATCGTTTACACTTCTAATTTTGACCATTTGTAAGGATTGCGCCTTATTCGTTGTGATCGCCTTAATCTGTGGGCGCTTGAAAAAGGACCAAACGTTTTGTGAGAATCGCTATCCAAATAATTCTTGATTGGATATCGGGGTCTCTTACGATTTTTTCTGGGTGGAGATATAGTGGATGGTGGCGTTAGCAGCGCAGAAGATTGAAACTGTGGGCTTGGTGAGACCGCGCTTGTGAAGGGAGAATCATTTACTGGCGACGACGGTTGATCATCTTCTTCTTCACTTGATACTTGC